TGCAAGGTGCCTGGCAAACAGAACAGGAAAATATGACCCAGGACCACAGAAACAGAAGTCTTTTTTGTTTTTTATGGTGAGGGAAGAAAATCATTTTACCATACAGTCTGCTGTTTCACTGAAGTCTAAGTACTGAAGTTGCAACAAACTAAAAACCAAACTGCACAGAGAACCATAGGATGATCTTTGCATTGCTGTTGTTTCGGTGAAAGCTCAGTGTAAAAGGCTGAAGATGCCAAGTCATGCTTGAACTCACCTGACATATTCATGTCCCCAGGAGGCCAACTCCTCCTGAGAGCCCAGCAGACGGTACTTCAAGCACTCCCTCTCACCACTCATGGTCATGGCCAGCACCGACACCACGTCAGCACAAAAACACTGCAACAAGGGAAAGATTAGAACAAATAAAGACCAGCATTTAACACCATTCGTGAAGGTACACGAACTGGACATGAGATTGATGCTATTTGTATCCTTGACAGAAAGTCTTAGGCTGCCCTGTTATTTCCTTATATTCCTGCATGTCGTCTTCGTTTTTACATCCACAATAACATTCTGACAATAAGCTTATAACTGCCCAATGAACAAAGAGACAAACAGTGGGTGATATTGATTTTGCCTTGACATCAGTGCATATTTTCTTTAGCAGAATATCTCATAAAACCACGAAGCAGATTTTGATGATACACTCAAATATCCACAGGACACATACAGTGGTTTGCAAAAGTATTCATACCCCTTGAACTTTTCCATATTTTGTCACATTACAACCACAAACATAAATATATTTCACTGGAATTTAATGTGAAAGACCAACACAAAGTGGTATACAATTGTGAAGTGGAAGCAAAATTTTACATGAATCAAAACATTTTTTACAAATAAAAAACTGAAAAGTGCGACGTGCAAAAGTATTCAGCCCCCTTTTCCCTGAGTGCAACCAATTGCATTCAGAAGTTGCCTGATGACTGCTAATGACTCAAAAGGGTCCACCTGTGTGTAATCTAATCTCAGTACAAATACAGCTGCTCCGTGACGGCCTCAGATGTTGGTTAAGAGAATATTGGGGAGCAAACAGCATCATGAAGTCCAAAGAACACACCAGACAGGTTAGGAATATGGTTTTGGAGAAGTTTAAAGCAGGCTTAGGTTATAAAAAGATTTCCCAAGCTTTGAACATCTCACGGAGCACTGTTCAATCCATCATCCGGAAATGGAAAGAGTATGGCACCACAGTAAACCTGCCAAGACAAGGCCGTCCACCTAAACTTACAGGCCGAACAAGGAGATCACTGATCAGAGAGGCAGCCAAGAGGCCCATGGTGACTCTGGATGAAATGCAGAGAGCCACAGCTCAGGTGGGGGAAACTGTCCACAGGACAACAATTAGTCGTGCACTACACAAATGTGGTCTTTATGGAAGAGTGGCAAGGAGAAAGCCATTGTTAAAAGAAAACCATAAGAAGTCCCGTTTGCAGTTTGCCAGAAGCCATGTTGAGGACACAGCAAACATGTGGAAGAAGGTGCTTTGGTCAGACGAGACCAAAATTGAACTTTTTGGCCACAATGCAAAACGCTATGTGTGGCGGAGAAAGAACACTGCACATCACTCTGAAAACACCATCCCCACTGTCAAATATGGTGGTGGCAGCATCATGCTCTGGGGGTGCTTCTCTTCAGCAGGGACCGGGAAGTTGGTCAAAGTTGATGGGAAGATGGATGGAGCCAAATACAGGGCAATCTTGGAAGAAAACCTGTTGGAGTCAGCAAAAGATTTGAGACTGGGGCGGAGGTTCACCTTCCAGCAGGACAACGACCCTAAACATAAAGCCAAAGCTACAATGGAGTGGTTTAAAAAAAAGAATATTCATGTGTTAGAATGGCTCAGTCAAAGTCCAGACCTAAACCCAATTGAGAATTTGTGGCAAGATCTCAAAACTGCTGTTCACAAACGCTCTCCATCYAATCTGACTGAGCTTGAGCTGTTTTGCAAGGAGGAATGGGCAAGAATTGCAGTCACTAGATGTGCAAAGCTGGTGGAGACATACCCTAAAAGACTTGCAGCTGTAATTGCAGCAAAAGGTGGCTCCACAAAGTATTGACTCAGGGGGGCTGAATAATTTTGCACATCGCACTTTTCAGTTTTTTATTTGTAAAAAATGTTKTGATTCATGTAAAATTTTGCTTCCACTTCACAATTGTATACCACTTTGTGTTGGTCTTTCACATTAAATTCCAGTGAAAATATTTATGTTTGTGGTTGTAATGTGACAAAATATGGAAAAGTTCAAGGGGTATGAATACTTTTGCAAACCACTGTATCTACAGCTGATTTCGCTTTTGTAGTTCGCCCAATTGRAGGTGTCCACCACAGCTAATCAACCGTAGCAAAAACAAAAATGACAAAAGCATGGTCCATTTGATGTGGTAGTACCTGAGGGTCATCCCCAACTGATGGTGTAAAAACTTTGTTTGAATATCACAAGCCAGACTATCAAAATAATCATCAGGCGCAACCCTAAACGAATCTCACAGAAAGTGGTCATTAGATGCACATCTACAACTGATTACCGGTAACTTTAGAAATCAACACAATACAAGATGGCTACAACAGTTAACTCACACTGTTATGGAAAAAGCATTTGTTGATTGCCTAAAGTTTAAATAAAGTTAAAAATAAGCAACCAAATTATTAAACTACACAAAAACATTGAGATCTCAGTCATAAAGCTAGCATATGCTGCTTTACAGCAGATGCTTTGAGACGAGAAGCCTTACCTTGTTCTCACCAGGAGCCATGCCCTCATAAATTTCTTTCAGTTTGCCATAATGTGGGCGTAGGAATTTCAGAGGCTTAGGTACCGAGGTCATGGAAGTGGTCGAAGAGCGAATCTGTCTGCGCAGCTCTTCTAATGCAGAGTGGTGCAGCGCTGTGCTCTTCTCCTGCAAAAAATACACATAATAAAAACTCTTCTTTAACCTTGTTGGGGTTCTCACATCTTGCCAATCCAATTAAAGAAGGATGTCAGCACTTACACTCAACCTCTCCACCATCATCTCCAGGTCTTCCTGTAACTGCTTGTCTTCCTCAGACTGAGAAATTGTGAAGAAATTTCAGATTCAAAGTACATATCAGATTTAACAATACAGTTCAGCAAAACAGCAGACAAAGTTAATGATGTAGAAAAATAAAAGTTGAACAGGAATGAAAAACAGCAAGTATATTAAATATATATTAAAATTATATTTTGATTAAAATGGAAAAAATAATGTTATACAAATATTAACAAATATACACAATATATTATATATATTTGTACTTGCAACGAAAGCAGTTTATATTTACAGTAATTATGAATCATTGTCTCCAAATTAAATGAAGATGAAAACTCAAACCAGGCTAATTTATCAATCAATGTGTTTCTACTAGTGACTAAGGAAGTTAGGGTCAGGACACAATTATTTGTCTATTGTCATAGAAAGTGGCTGATTGCGATGAAATAACAGATTAAAATGAAATTGCTAATAAAGTATTTACCCATAATGGATAACAGAAAATAGATTAAACCAGTAACTTGCTTGTTGAGGTTGTTGTCAAGCTCTTTGTTTGGACTATCAGCAATGTTTGTACAATTTAATCCACAGGATCAAAAATAGTTTTGTTTTTTAAGTTTGAAGCTAAAAACATATTTCTGGTAATTCTGTTTCATTTGATATTTAATGAGTGGCTAGTTTTACTTTGTTTATACAACTATGGTTTCTTAATACATAACAAATCAAAGGTAACCGAACTCAAAACAGACCTTGATTCAACCTTATTTACATCTATTGTAAGGGTCAAGTGTGTAGTTTATATGTTTTGTAATTGAATTATTGAAACGACCAACACTGACTGTTCACATAGTCTAAAATTTGATCAAAAATTACAAAAATAAATAAATAAATAATAATTCGCAGCTAAACCAAATAAACAGCTGATATACTTTTAGTTGAGTTAATGTGGATTAAACATTACAATTCAAATGATGTTTTGTCTGTGTCATGCTGTGCCATGTTAGCTCATTGAAGCTAATCAGCTCAGAATGACAAGCTAATGCTAGCACAGAAGGCCGGAGCAGGCTAGGCTAACTGGGTTTATTTTTCGACTAATCTAAATGTGCTTATGTCTATAGGTAAAGGCGGTGACGTTTTATGGGTGTAAAAACCACAGTTAGTGAAAATGTAAGCTCGTGGTTGATCTTTTTTCTGTATACCACCGGCTTCGGCCTACTTTGTCATGTTACAGCGGCAGTGACTCAGCTTCAGTATGTACCTTCCTGTTAGTTTATTTAGCATTTCTTGAATGAGAAAAATGCTAAAACTTACCAATTCCTGCTCCTCTTTCTTTTCCTTATCTTTTCCAGAGGACTGCTGTCCCTTTTCCTTATCCTTATCTTTTTCATCGCCTTTTTCAGTTTGTTTGTTCTCTTTCTTTTTTGCCTCTTCCATGGTTGCAAGCTCTGGTTAGCAAACGGAACTACTCGGCGACTGCTTCTTCGCTAAAATCGATCCTGTTTGGTTTGCTTTTAGCGCCCCTGCTGGCCGTATTGTGTCGTTGTTCGCGCTGATTCGCGTCCCGCAAATAAAGTAAGAAAAAGAAAAAGGAAAGGAAAAACTAGTCCATTCCAGGTAACAGCCACTATTCTGGCTCTTTATTGGTCACAGTATAATTTATAATTATTAAAAAAATATATAAAAGATGCTAATTGAGTGTAAAAATGTAAACACGTAGTCTTTGTGTGAAACAAGAAACTCACATTTTCTACATTTTGCCAGTCGTTTGAAGTAGCATCAGAACACATCATGTGACTTGATCACCACATGCCTTCCTGGTTCCTTGTTCGTACCAAAATGTATTTTCTAATGCATGGACTTTTCTTGGCCCTTTCTGTGCTGCTGTCCCTGTTTGTTGCGGGAGAGGGGCGGCATTATGGCTTCACGAAGTTTAACCAGGTGCAGGAATCCAAGGCGAAGGCTGTTTTTGAGGAGCTGTGGTTCACACAGAAACTGGATCACTTCAATGGTGCAGACAGCAGAGAGTGGAAGCAAGTAAGTCAAGCAGCTTAATGCTTTAGTATTTAGGTGGACGATTGAGTTTTTTTCTTTTGTGTGTCTGCCTGTTAACAAAATATCTCATGAACAACTGGATAAATTGCAAGTAAGCTTGCAAAAAATGTAATCAGTGGATGTGCATCTACATCTGATTAACTTTTGGAGTCAGTGGGTTCAATATGGCTGCCTCTAGTAAGTATTACTGAGCTAAAGTTTGGTGTGGTAGTAGCTGAGACCGATCCCCAAAACATACCCTGAGCTCTAACACATTTATGCCATTAACTATTTAAAGTCAACTCTGTCAGCAAAATATCTCACAAACCATTGGCCAGATTTAAGTAAAACTTTCAGGAAGTAATCATTTGATGTGCCTCTACAAATAATTAACTTTTGGAGTCGACACAATTCAAGATGGCTGACATAGCAATTTGACATCAGACTTCACAAAAATGGCTATAACTCAGTCAGATTTATAAATATGGAGCTAGAATTTGATTTCGTAGTAGCTGAGATTCATCATATTTTCAAGGTTTGACCAAAACGTTACAACTGGATCATTTCTCATCAGTTTAAAACTACGTGATAAGAGGCATTGGGTGACGTGCAGTCGTAAATAATGGTATATTTAAAATTTTAGAAGAAATGAACATGAATAATTAAAATATAGTTTTGCTCAGTGTGTGGGTCTACATTCAGCAATAAGAAGTTCTTCTTTTCCACATCATAAAGTGTGCGTTTCTATTTGAAAACTGTACTTTGCACACTTATAAAGGTTTGCCCATGTGTCTCTCCTGCCCTCCCTCAGAGGTATTTCATAAACGAATCTTTCTACAAGCCTGGTGGTCCGGTGTTTCTGATGATCGGTGGAGAGGGTCCAGCTAATCCGGCGTGGATGCAATACGGCACCTGGCTCACCTACGCAGAGAAACTGGGAGCACTCTGCCTGATGCTGGAGCATCGTTTCTACGGAAAGAGTCACCCGACGGTGTATGTCCTGCTTGTGCTGCTTTATGTCTGATGTTGAGTTTACATGAGATTCTCCAGCTTCACTTGACCTACATTAGGCTGAATGCTGCAGCTATATTTAGAAACAGGAAGGTCCCGGTTTACAGCTGCAGTGGTGAAGTCTTCACGTTTAAAGGCCAGTCATTTCTTGAAGGAGTGCACATCCCCTGCTGTCTTTAGTCAAACCTTGTAAATGTTTTTATATCTGGAGCCATTAAAATCATGCAAGTTTTTCTCTTAGACTTGCTTTGCACAGGATGCTACATAAAATCATTTACTGGACGAAGTTTGACCATAGCAGTTGTAATTCCATAAGACAACTTCAGTTAAAGCTCTGGCATGGAGGTGGAAGGTGATAAGCATTCCTTCCAGTAGTGCTTGTTATTTTCAAAGTTAACCAAGACTGCAGCAACATTTCTCAATCTAAGTTTTAAATCATGGCATAAAAGCTTCAGATGATAAATATTCCTTTAAAATAAAATTGAATTTAATTTAATTTTTGCTGTGCAAAAATTGAGTTGTTTTCATATTTATAATGCCTGCAGGGCACATGCTACTCCTGGGGTCTACAGTGGTTTGCAAAAGTATTCATACCCCTTGAACTTTTCCATATTTTGTCACATTACAACCACAAACATAAATATATTTCACTGGA